GAAGCAGGAGGATCACAAATTCAAAGCCAGCCTCAGCAACTCAGCAAGGCCCTAAGCAACTTAGTGAGATCCTGTCTCAAAATATAAAAATGGCTGGGGATGTGGCTCAGTAGTTAAGCACCCCTGGGTTCAATCCCCTAGTACAGAATAAGGAAGAGGAGGAGGAGGAGGAGGGCCCACAGTAGCAGCAGCCAGGAGAAGAAGAAGGGGAAGGTCACTTTCAAATTCAAATTCAAAAGGTTACTTTCTCTTTCCGTAAATAATTCATTGCATGGGAATCCCACATTTTGTGTATCCACCTATTAAGGAACATCTTGGTTGCTTCCAAGTTTTGGCAACTGAAGTGCTATAAACATCTCTGTGTAGACATAAGTTTTTGATTCATTTGTGTCAATACAATATGATCCAGAATCCATGCTCTGCATGAGTATGGTTAGTTTTGAAAGAAACTGAAATTGTCTTCCACAGTGGCTTCCCACCAGCACTGAGTAAGAGTATTGCTATTGCTCCTGTTGCTCCATGTCTTACCTGGCATTTATTGTTTTTGTTATTCCAACCATTAGGTACTTTTTAATTTTATATCCAAGCAACTTTCTAAATGGTTTCATTTGTCTTAAAAGTTTTTAAAATTATTTCCCTTGATTCTCTATTCTTAGTTGTTGTATATCTATTTAATAAATAAACAGAGGAAGAGAAAGAGGAAAACAGGGGATTAATGAAAACCTAATGGCCCTAACTAGAACTTTCAGGGAAAAGGCAAAATAGTAATGATAGGCATTTTTGACACAAACCTAATTTCAATGATAAAGGTGCTAATATTTAATATTTCATCATTAAGTATTATGTTTGCTGTTGGCTATGTATGTGTGTGTGTGTGTGTGTGTGTGTGTGTGTGTGTGTATATATATATATATATATATATATTCAATCATTTATTCAATATCCTTCTGCTACTATGTCTTTGTTTTTAATTTTCCATCATCTTCTGAGAAGAGTCATTCAGTGACTGAAGGACCAGACTTCACTTTGTCTCATTGGAGGAGAAAATTTATATAACTATAAAACTTATAACTACATACAGAAGAGAAGTTTTGACAACACACATTTCAGCTCTGTGAAGAATGTCATTATTTGAGCTCTTCTAAGTACATCATATGCTCTTTCCCAGTTTTTATTTCCTTTCATGGGTTTCACCATATTAATGTTCTATTATTTTCTTATATATTTTAATCACCTTCTTTGTTGCAATAACAAACTGATGAATTGATCAGTATTATTTTTAATGTATTAGAATAAAAATGGTCATTAATAGGGAAATATATGAGTTGTGTGTGTTTGTGTATATGTGTGTGTGTGTGTGTGTATATATATATATATATATATATTTTTTTTTTTTAATTGCAGTTGATTACAGTTTTAAGGAATACTAAAAAAACAGGAAATGTTACAGGCAAGAACTCTCTCTTATTGACTCTTTCCTTCCCAGACACTAGTATTGGATTGATCCTGAGCAGGTGCTTAGTACTAATGGACAATCCCATAGTCATGTTCCTGGATTGTCTCGGAAGTTTTCATGCCCCTTACCTTGGAGTCATTTCAGTATGTGAGATGAACAGTCAATGTAACTAAGAGAAACAGCAAGGCAGGTAAATTTCAGTGACTTCTAGGATAAGTGTTTTAATATGAATTGGGAATCACCAGTCACTTTCCATAGATGATTAGGGACTGACTGTACCACAAAATTTGAGTTTGAAATGCCATAACTATGGAAAGCCCTGAGTATGATGTTCCTTTTATTAATTAATATATGTGAATACTTTTCAACTTACTAAGCAATTCTTGAAAACCTGCAGTAATCTTACTTATAGTTATTTAGGATTTTGACAGCTATAGTCATAGAATGGTTTCTTTTTCACTTTTGTGCAAAATTATTTTAAATGCTATTAGAAATGTGTTCACCATATAAAATAAACTCAAACTTTCTAGCTTCTTCTATGTGCCGTAAGGCTGTAAGAACATGCAGGCAATTGTGGTAATGTACACCTGTAATCCCAGCAACACAGGAGGTTGAAGCAGAAGGATCACTAAGTTCAAGGCCAGCCTGGGCAACTTTACAAGGCTTTCTCAAAAAATAAAAAGGACTGGGGATGTAGCTCAATGATAAAGCACCCCTAGGTTTAATACCTAGTTCCCCTGGTTCAAAAAAGAATGTGTAGGGGCTGGGGTTGTGGCTTAGTGGTAGAGCGCTCGCCCAGCACGTGTGAGGCCCTGGGTTCGATCCTCAGCACCACATAAAAAATAAAGATATTTTTTAAAAAAAGGAATGTGTATTACTTAGAAGACTGAATAATGCACTGTGTCTGATCCCAGAATCATTTTCTAAAGAAAGGAGTTTGATAGCTTCACAATTTTCTATGACTGATTCAATGTTTCTAATTTTTTTGATCCAATTTTTAATTTAGATTCTTTCTTGAAAGTCATCCATTTAATCTATAATTTCTAATATAATACCATAAGTTACATCTGGAATTTTTGTAACCACCAGCACAGTGGAACATGTCCCAATTCTAACGACTTGAGAGACTGAGGCAGGAAGATTCCAAGTTGGAGACCAGCCTCAGCAACTTAGCAAGACGGTGTCTTAAAATGAAAAATAAAAAGGGCTGGGGATGTGATTCTGATGAAGTGACCCCGAGTTCAATTTCCATCAACCCCCCTCAAAAAATAGAAATCTTATAACTTAAGAAGTCTTGGAATCCATCATAATATCTTTGTTCTCTTTTCATTAGATTTTCAAAAGGCCTATCAACTTTCCTCCCCCCAAAAAAGTTTTTCAATTCTATTTTTGTTAATCATTAATTCCTACTTATATTTGTGTTATTTCCTTCCCTTCAGCTCCTTATATTTTATATTAGTATTATAAGTTGAGATTATCTCAATTTTCACTTTAAAAATCAAAATTATACATGTTTAATTGCTTCTAAAGTATAGTCTATTACTAACATTAGAAATATCATAAAATTGCTATTTTAATGTGTTCTTTGTTATTCTAAGCATGTAGGAGAATTTATTATTCCCAAGTCATTGAGTTTATTTTTGTTTGAATTTTATTTTAAATAATACCTTTGGATCAAAGAATGTCTATGTAATATTCATATTTGTGGAAATGACCTAGGTTTTCCTTCTGACCCAGTCTATAATTAGTTTTTATAAGCTTGAAGTACACTAAGCACATTTTACTTTAATTTGATACGTTATGATCTCTCATAACCTGGTGAATATCATTTTTCATGTTGTGCACTTGCAGGAATACACAGCTGTTTAGAGAAGTACTGGTAAGTACAGGTCCTTGTGGCTGGGTTTGTGCAGTTTTTGAGTCCAGTTCTAGCATTTTCTCTGCCTTCTTTCTTTCAGTCATCACTGCCTGCTGTCAACAGTCTACCTCCACTATTCCAAATCACTACTCCTAGCATATGCCTTTGGTTTTGAAACCAAACAGCTACATTTTAGGATTAAATGTTAAATAAAATTAATAAGGTTTAAGCAAGAAATTTGTTAGTGCCCTCAGAAAAAAATGCTTGAACTTTGTGATCCCTCCTTTAGCTGCTCTGAACTTATTTTATTTACATCCTTGTTTTCTATTCAATTTTCAAGGACAGTGCAATTTCAACTACATTTTAAAAGTACTTACACACACTGACAAAAAAAAAAGAACTGTCATTTTTCAAAAAGAAAAAAAAATGTTAAAAAAAATTGTCTCCATAACACAGAAGTCCACAGTGTTTTATAAACTTTTTAAAATCACTACATTTGAAAGAGATCATCATGAAGTAAAATTGTTTAAACCAGAAATATCTGGTTTGTTGCCCCACTCACATAGTCTTAAAAAGAAGGAACAATGTTTCTTTTTATAGACAAACAATGTGGTACTTTCTACTACATTCACTAAATAGTTTCAATGTACGTTAGAAAGCAGCTAGACTAACACTCGAAAATTTTAAATCATAAGACTATGTCATCCTCAAAAAATAACAATATATGAAGTAGCTGAAATATTGCTTGTCTACAATAGCATTTTGTTGACTTGGGAATAAAGTCTTTCATTTGTATAAGATATGAGTAATATTTATACTTGAATTTTAAGAAAATTAAACTCCAACTATCTGTTTCTTCACATTTCTGTAAAAATCAGAGTTGAAAGATATATGAAGTTTATATATTTTATTGTTCTAGTGGGCATTGTTAGGTAGTAGCTAGCAATGAGCAGTGAAATATATGGTAAGGTCATAAAGAATTCTTTAAATTACTTCAGGGTCCTTCTTTATGATAAGGTCATAAAGTGTTCTTTAAATTGGGGCTCTTTTTTAAACTTGAGTTTGAATGCCATAACTATAGAAAAACCTGAATATGGTGTTCCTTTTATTAATTAATATATGTTAAGAAGCCAATGGTGGAAGTTAATCTATAGAAAACAAAAGCAAGGGAGCTATTTGTAAAACATATCAAGAGAAAAAGATTAATGAGACTAACTCTTGACAGGATCCACTGAGGTTGATGTAAAGCTAGGAATTATGGCTATAGTGTCTATTCGCCTATAGGGAAGAAAGGGTCCTTTAGTAGCACAGGCCTGCTAGCTTTGACCAGTTATTGACATGGGATTGACTTATAGATGAAGTCCCCCTAAATAGGATGGCCACCATGACAATCCTGGAGAGGACCAACTAGGGTCAAAACTCCTCCACTGCCCTAGGTGAAGGAGGAGTTGAATACCTGATGGGCAAAGGTTGCTGAAGGAGTACTCCAGTTTTCAAGTTAACCATACAACAATTATAAATCTGGGGACAGCATTATCTTTGTGGTTCTCTGCTTGGAGACAGCCCTCTGAGAGATAAAAAGTGCTTTCCACTTAAGCCTCACTTTGCTTTTATTTTACTTTCACCTATAATAAAGTTAACTCTTGCATGACTTCTGGTATCTGACTTTAAATTTTCTTTCATCAGAACACAAGAACCAAGGTTTGGAGTTTCAGCTCCCTGCTTTCCTTTGACAGGTATGTTTAAATTTAAGCCATTTAAAAAATATGCAACTACAAAGGAAATAAATATTCATTAAGTATCAAAAAGAATTACTTATTACTGCATTATGTAATAAAAATATCCTAAATAGTGAGACCCCTGTTTCTAATGTCATTTTGGGAGTCACTATTTCATCTGTAAAATCAGGAGATTAAAACAAAATCTGTTTGTGGTCTAAAATTTTATAGGATTAGTTGCTTAAACTACATAAAAACTCAAATACAGAAGTGATTTTCAAAGAATTGTCAAGTTTCACAGGATTAAGACAATCCAAACACAAAAATTACAGGAAGGTATTATCTGCTAAGTAACTGACAAATCATTTAGTGTATTTTAGATTTTGGTTTTAAAGAATATAGATTGTTCCAGGCATGGTGGTACATGCCAGTAATTCTAGAGGCTCAGGAGGCTGAGACAGAAAGATGTCAAATTCCAAGCCAGCCAGGATAACTAATAAAACTCTGTCTCAAAACAAAACATTAAAAAAAAAATGCTAAAGATGTAGATCAGTTCAATCCCCAGCACCAGTACCACAAAAATAAATTAATTAAGTTGTTACAAAATAAACTTGTAGTTCTTTAACACAGAACTCTATTGATACACCTGCTACAGGAGAAGACACAGCATATTCTTGGACCACTATATAATTGTACTTTGTTATATTTTTGAAAATTTAAATATCTAAATAAATCATCACATTTAAGGGACTATAACAATCAGTTTCATTAGACATACCACAAAATCTGTGATTCTCCAAATCATCAAAGATCTAAATTCTTAATGCTTAATTTTATTCAAATTCCCTACAGGAAATCCAGCTGTCAAATTTGGTTTACAGTGGGAATTTTACAAAGAAAATTCCATTTGAACAAAAGTGATTTAGAAGAAACATAAAGGAATGAGGAACTATGAAAACCAAGTGCCTTGCTTCAACCAGTTTGTCAGAAAGTTCTCCTGACTCTGAATAGAGACTGCTAAACTTGCTGTGACATGTCCCTGAGTGACATGTCTACTCCTTGAGGAGCAAACAAAATCTAGAATTAGTCAAATCATAAAATGGCAACCCAAACTTGAATAGACATAGTCTACCTGAACAAAAATCCCCAGGGGCAACCACAGAGCACTGCTGATTCCAGAAGTATTGGATCTCACCGTGCATTTATTTGTACATTTCTTTTTAATGCTTGCACAAGAATGATATGATAATGACAAATTAAAACTCCTTTTGTTTTCAGTAAATGTAACATCAAACTTAAGTGGTAGTGTACTGGAATCTATATCTCAGCTGTGATGATAATATTATTACTGCATGTATTTGTGAAAACTTGGCTGAACTACATGTTAACTGAGGTGTTTACCTAATTTAAATTATGCATTTATGAGATTTTTAAAATATTGTATTAGTTCAATTGGCACTGCTTTTTTTAATTTCCTCTTTGTAGTTTATAAAATGGTTCCTCTGAACATTTGATGGCCTAAAGATTGACATTAGTGGGCTGAAATGAAATTCTTTTGTGTCTGACCAGTGTTCTATGTTGGGTTTATTTCCCATAACTAAACATAAACATACTCACCGATTTTTCACAATTTTCTTGGTTCTAAAACTAGTGACTTACAAAAACGTATTCTGACTCCCAGAAAACATCAGTTATATGTTTTAAAATTTTCTATCTGAAAGATATTAAGGATGGAATCAACAAGAGATAAATGAAAAAATGGCACACCCAAAAAGTACATCCAGGTTACTGTCATCAAGTTAAGACCAGGAATAAATCAAGAACCTGAGCAACCATCTGCAAAAGTTCAGAGGGAGAAAAATGTTTTCATTTATATTCTCTAAGTTAAACTCTAGAAGCATCTAGATAGATCAATCTAAATTCATATTTTTTTCCTGAGGTTCAGTAGTTCTTATAGACCTGAGAATATAAAACACATTTGGTTTCATTCTACAATGAATATACCTGCAGCATGCTCTTGATTTCTCACAGCCACTCCCTTACTTGGTCAGATGCAAATTTGTGATTGCCATGATAACCCATTTCAAACTGAGGCTTTGAAATTTTCCTCTGACATCACAAGTAGCTAAAGGTATTTTGAGACATATCTCACCAACAGCAAGCACCAGATATAAGAGAACTAAATCATTTTATTTCTTTTTTTTTTTTTTTTTTTTTTTTTTTTTTTTTTTTACTTTTGCTGCCTTTTGAGGCTTGCTATTAAGCTATTTTTTTTTTTTTAATTTTTTATTGTGGGTTGTTCAAAACATTACAAATTTCTTGACATATCATATTCCACACTTTGATTCTAGTGGGTTATGAACTCCCACCTTCACCCCATACACAGATTGCAGATTCACATCAGTTACACATCCATTGATTTACAAATTGCCATACTAGTGTCTGTTGTGCTCCGCTGCCTTTCCCATCATCCACCCTCCCCCCTCCCCACCTCTCCCCTCCCCTCCCCTCCTCTCTCCCTACCCCCTCCACTGTATAACCCTGAGGGTCTCCTTCCATTACCGTGCAATTTACCTTCTCTCTCCCTTTCCCTCCCACCTCTCATCCCTGTTAAATGTTAATCTTCTTCTCCTGTTCTTCGTCCCTACTCTGTTCTTAGTTACTTTCCTTATATCAAAGAAGACATTTGGCATTTGTTTTTTAGGGATTGGCTAGCTTCACTTAGCATAATCTGCTCTAATGCCATCCATTTCCCTGTAAATTCTATGATTTTGTCATTTTTTAATGCAGAGTAATACTCCATTGTGTATAAATGCCACATTTTTTTTATCCATTCGTCTATTGAAGGGCATCTAGGTTGGTTCCACAGTCTTGCTATTGTGAACTGTGCTGCTATGAACATCGATGTAGCAGTGTCCCTGTAGCATGCTCTTTTTAGGTCTTTAGGGAATAGACCAAGAAGGGGAATAGCTGGGTCAAATGGTGGCTCCATTCCCAGCTTTCCAAGAAATCTCCATACTGCTTTCCAAATTGGCTGCACCAATCTGCAGTCCCACCAGCAATGTACAAGTGTACCCTTTTCCCCACATCCTCGCCAGCACTTGTTGTTGTTTGACTTCCTAATGGCTGCCAATCTTACTGGAGTGAGATGGTATCTTAGGGTGGTTTTGATTTGCATTTCTCTGACTGCTAGAGATGTTGAGCATTTTTTCATGTACTTGTTGATTGACTGTATGTCCTCCTCTGTGAAGTGTCTGTTCAGGTCCTTGGCCCATTTGTTGATTGGGTTGTTTGTTCTCTTATTGTCTAATTTTTTGAGTTCTTTGTATACTCTGGATATTAGGGCTCTATCTGAAGTGTGAGGAGTAAAGATTTGTTCCCAGGATGTAGGCTCCCTATTTACCTCTCTTATTGTTTCTTTTGCTGAGAAAAAACTTCTTAGTTTGAGTAAGTCCCATTTGTTGATTCTAGTTATTAACTTTTGTGCTATGGGTGTCCTATTGAGGAATTTGGAGCCCGACCCCACCGACTGTAGATCGTAGCCAACTTTTTCTTCTATCAGACGGCGCGTCTCTGATTTGATATCAAGTTCCTTGATCCATTTTGAATTCACTTTTGTGCATGGCGAGAGAAAGGGATTCAGTTTCATTTTGTTGCATATGGATTTCCAGTTTTCCCAGCACCATTTGTTGAAGATGCTATCCTTCCTCCATTGCATGCTTTTAGCCCCTTTATCAAATATAAGATAGTTGTAGTTTTGTGGATTGGTTTCTGTGTCCTCTATTCTGTACCATTGGTCCACACGCCTGTTTTGGTACCAGTACCATGCTGTTTTTGTTACTATTGCTCTGTAGTATAGTTTGAAGTCTGGTATCGCTATACCGCCTGATTCACACTTCTTGCTTAGCATTGTTTTTGCTATTCTGGGTCGTTTATTTTTCCGTATGAATTTCATGATTGCTTTCTCTATTTCTACAAGAAATGCCGTTGGGATTTTGATTGGCATTGCATTAAACCTATAGAGAACTTTTGGTAATATCGCCATTTTGATGATGTTAGTTCTGCCTATCCATGAACAGGGTATATTTTTCCATCTTCTAAGATCTTCTTCTATTTCTCTCTTTAGGTTTCTGTAGTTTTCATTGTATAAGTCTTTCACCTCTTTTGTTAGGTTGATTCCCAAGTATTTTATTTTTTTTGAAGATATTTTGAATGGAGTGGTTGTCCTCATTTCCATTTCAGAGGATTTGTCGCTGATATACAGGAATGCCTTTGATTTATGCGTGTTGATTTTAAATCCTGCCACTTTGCTGAATTCATTTATTAGCTCTAATAGTTTCTTTGTAGAGCCTTTTGGGTCTGCTAGATATAGAATCATATCATCTGCAAATAGTGATAATTTAATTTCTTCTTTTCCTATTTTTATGCCTTTAATTTCTTTCGTCTGTCTAATTGCTCTGGCCAGTGTTTCGAGAACTATGTTGAAGAGAAGTGGAGAGAGAGGGCATCCCTGTCTTGTTCCAGATTTTAGAGGGAATGCCTTCAGTTTTTCTCCATTCAGAATAATGCTAGCCTGAGGCTTAGCATAGATTGCTTTTACAATATTGAGGTATGTTCCTGTTATCCCTAGTTTTTCTAGAGTTTTGAACATAAAGGGATGCTGTACTTTGTCAAATGCTTTTTCCGCATCTATCGAGATGATCATATGGTTCTTATTTTTAAGTCTATTGATGTGGTGAATAACATTTATTGATTTCCGTATATTGAACCAGCCTTGCATCCCAGGGATGAATCCTACTTGATCATGGTGCACAATTTTTTTGATATGTTTTTGTATCCGATTCGCCAGAATTTTATTGAGGATTTTTGCATCTAGGTTCATTAGAGATATTGGTCTGTAGTTTTCTTTCTTTGAAGTGTCTTTGTCTGGTTTAGGTATCAGGGTGATGTTGGCCTCATAGAATGAATTTGGAAGTTCTCCCTCCTTTTCTATTTCCTGAAGTAGCTTGAAAAGTATTGGTATTAGTTCTTCTTTAAAGGTTTTGTAAAATTCTGCTGTATACCCATCGGGACCTGGGCTTTTCTTAGTTGGTAGTCTTTTGATGGTTTCTTCTATCTCCTCAATTGATATTGGTCTGTTTAGGTTTTCTATATCCTCCTGACTCAATCTGGGCAGATCATATGACTTAAGAAATTTATCTATGCCTTCACTATCTTCTAATTTATTGGAGTATAAGGATTCAAAATAGTTTTTGATTATCTTCTGTATTTCTGAAGTGTCTGTTGTGATATTGCCTTTTTCATCCCGTATGCTAGTGATTTGAGTTCTCTCTCTTCTTCTCTTCACTAGCATCGCTAAGGGTCTGTCGATTTTGTTTATTTTTTCAAAGAACCAACTTTTAGTTTTGTCAATTTTTTCAATTGTTTCTTTTGTTTCGATTTCATTAATTTCAGCTCTGATTTTAATTATTTCTTGCCTTCTACTTCTTTTGCTGTTGTTTTGCTCTTCTTTTTCAAGGATTTTGAGATGAAGTATGAGATCATTTATTTGTTGGTTTTTTCTTTTTTTAAGGAATGAACTCCAAGCAATGAATTTTCCTCTTAGAACTGCTTTCAATGTGTCCCATAGATTCCGATATGTTGTGTCTGTGTTTTCATTTATCTCTAAGAATTTTTTAATTTCCTCCTTGATGTCTTCTATAACCCATTGATCATTCAGTAACCTATTGTTCATTCTCCAATTGATGTATGCTTTTTCCTTCCTTCTTTTATCGTTGATTTTCAGTTTCATTCCATTATGATCAGATAAGATGCATGGTAATATCTCTACTCCTTTATATTGTCTAAGAGTTGCCCTGTGACATAATATATGATCTATTTTTGAGAAGGATCCATGTGCTGCTGAGAAAAAAGTGTAACTGCTTGATGTTGGGTGGTATACTCTATATATGTCAATTAGGTCTAGGTTATTAATAGTGTTATTGAGTTCTATAGTTTCCTTATTCAACTTTTGTTTGGAAGATCTGTCCAGTGGCGAGAGAGGTGTGTTGAAGTCTCCCATGATTATGGTGTGGTGGTCTATTAGACTCTTGAACTTGAGAAGAGTTTGTTTGACGAACATAGCTGCACCATTGTTTGGGGCATAAATATTTATGATTGTTATGTCTTGTTGGTGTATGGTTCCCTTAAGCAGTATGTAGTGTCCCTCTTTATCTCTTTTGATTAACTTTGGCTTGAAATCTATTTTATTTGATATGAGTATGGACACGCCTGCTTGTTTCCGAAGTCCATATGAGTGATATGATTTTTCCCAACCTTTCACCTTCAGCCTATGTATGTCTTTTCCTATCAAATGCGTCTCCTGTAGGCAGCATATTGTTGGGTCTTGTTTTGTGATCCATTCTACTAGCCTGTGTCTCTTAATTGGTGAGTTTAAGCCATTAACATTTAGGGTTATTATTGAGATATGGGTTGTTCTTCCAGCCATATTTGTTTATTTCTGTTACTAAACATTGTTTGTTTTCCTCTTTGATTGTTTCCCCCCCCCCTTTACTGTCCTACCTCCCACTGTTGGTTTTCATTGTTATTTTCCATTTCCTCTTCCTGTAATACTTTGGCTAGGATGTTTTGAAGAGATGGTTTTCTAGCTGCGAATTCTTTAAACTTTTGTTTATCGTGGAAGGTTTTAATTTCATTCTCCATCCTGAAGCTTAATTTCGCTGGATACACAATTCTTGGTTGGAACCCATTATCTTTCAGTGTTTGAAATATGTTATTCCAGGATCTTCTAGCTTTCAGAGTCTGTGTTGAAAGATCAGCTGTTATCCTGATTGGCTTGCCCCTAAATGTAATCTGCTTCCTTTCTCTTGTAGCTTTTAAAATTCTCTCCTTATTCTGTATGTTGGGCATCTTCATTATAATGTGTCTAGGTGTGGATCTCTTATGATTTTGCACATTCGGCGTCCTGTAGGCTTCTAGGATTTGGGATTCTGTCTCATTCTTCAAGTCTGGGAAGTTTTCTTGTATTATTTCATTGAATAGACTGCTCATTCCTTTGGTTTGGAGCTCTGTACCTTCCTGTATCCCAGTGACTCTTAAGTTTGGTCTCTTAATGTTATCCCATATTTCTTGGATGTTCTGCTCATGGTTTCTTAACAGTCTTGCTGAGCTGTCTATGTTCTTTTCCAGTTG